CGCCCTCTCCAGGGTGCCCACTGCCCGGCTCCGCTCCCTCTTTCTGTGTCAGTCACCTTCATGCCTCCCACTCGGGTGACAGAGAGAAGGGCTTCCTCTTTTACCGTATTAGCTGCCGTGGGGACAGGGGTTGTCTGTTTTGTTCCCTGCTGCATCCCTGGCACCCGGTTGTGCCTGGCACCCAAGCAGTAGGAGCTCAATAAGTCTGGCCTGAGTGAATCGGTTTCCCTTTGTCCCAGAGACGGGCTGTGGACTGTCCGAAAGGACAGCATCACAAATGGGTTCCACTTGGTTATTTTCAAATAACCGTGTCTCAGGGCCAGGGAAGCTTGAACCTGTGTGAGGGCTCCAGGAAGAAAGAGGACTCCTTTTGCAGTGTGCCCTGCCCCCCATTTCAACAGTTTGCAAGTTTGAATTTTCTTTTTTCGAGAATTTTTATAAGAGTTTGTTTGAGCTACACTGATGATGTGATGGGAAGCAAGGTCTCAAATGCTTTGGAACACAAACCTGAATTTTATTTTCAAATTTGAATTTTCAATTCAGTTCAGTTGATATTCATTATTAATTACTATACCGTTAATTTTTAATTGAGTTTTTACCATCATCTGGGCTTTGAGCTAAGCACATAACAGGTATTGACTCATTTCATTTTCATACAGCCATATCCCCATTTTACAAATGAGAAAACTGAGGCAGACAGAGGTGAAGCAGCTTGCTCATACGCCCATGGATAGAGGCTCTGAAGCTCCAGAGCCCACACTCCTCATCGCAACTAATGCTGCTCTTCAGGACTTACTTTGCATGCAAGCATCTGTCTACGAGGTGCTGGTGATGAAAAAATGAGTGAGGCTGCCCACAGGGGCATGCTTAGCATACTGTGGCCCATCCACACCGTGGGGTACTGCTCAGCAACGAAAATGAACGAACGCTCCTGAGAATTATGCCGAGTGTAAAAAGACAATTGCAAAAGTTTCCTACCGCCTCATTCCATGCATAACACATCCTTGACGGAACAAGTTTATAGAAATGAAGATAGATGAGTCATGCCATGGGCTAAGGAGGGGTGGAGGCAGGAGGGGAGAAGGCGTGTCTATGAAAGGGCCACATGAGGGCCCTGGCCGGGTGGCTCAGTTGGTTGGAGCTTCGTCCCATACATCAAAAGGCTCCAAGTTTGATCCCTGGTTGAGGCGCACACAGGAAGCGACCGATTGGTGTTTCTCTCTCACATTGATGTTTCTATCTTTATGTATAACAGCAGCTTAGTGGTGGAAAGAGTGAGGATTTGGGGCTCAGAGGACCCTGTATTTGAATCTCAATTCTACCACTTACTAGCTATGGGCTTGATCTTTAGTGTCCCTTAGCCTCTGTCCCTTCATCTCCGTCGATGAGACTAATTATACTACACAGGTCAGTAATACCAAACACACAGGGCTGTGGTGGGGATTAACGAGAAAACATTTGCCAAAGAACATAGTATGATGCAAGCAATCAATAAGTGATGTTTATTATTATTAACAATTGTTCTAGCTTATATGAGAAATTAAAGATATGCACCTTTCACACAGTGCTCTACAAATAGTACCGTGGTTTCTAGGGGTTTTGCTTGTATCAGTCGGGATAGTCTAGGATTTGCTGCAGTAACAAACACCCACCAAATCTCAGTGGTTTACAGCAACAAAGGTTACCTGCAGTCTGCTCCTGTAGTCCTCTCTCCCGGACCCAGGACAATGGAGCAGCCAGTCTCTGGAATGTTGTTGGCAGAGGAAAAAGGTCTTATATCAACATTAAATGCTATGGCTTAGGTTTGACATATATTATTTCCATTCAAAAGTCAGTGGTCAGAGCTCTGGTTACACATTCCCACCCAACCGGAAGGACAGGAATATAATCCTACCACGTGTCTAGAAGGGGGAAAACCAGGAACACGTCGCCAACAGCCCTAGTGACTAGCATATGCTTTTGTGAACCACTGCCCAGCCCAGAGGGATAGGGTAGACAATAGGAGGGTGGCAGGAGGCAGAGGGGGTCCAGGAGGACACAGAGGGGCCCGAATGGAGTGCCGTCCTAAGTCAGTGTGCAGGGCCGAGGCTGGGGGAGCCCTCTGCACATTTCTCATCTGGACCTGACCCAAACTCATCTGGCCCACTGTGTTCTGCAGGCAAGCAGAGGAGGTGGGAGGCCCCGCTCTCAATATGGATGGTGAAGGTGGATGTGGCCCGCTTCCCTGGCCCCCCAGCTGCCGGGCCAAGCAGCCTCACACAGCAGTATTTCTCTGGCTCCATCCCTCCTGCTCTGCTGGTTTCCCAGACCTATTGGATTCTTCTAAGTTTCAGGAGCCCCCCGGGGAATGTGCCCAGTGCTCTCACCCTGCCCTTTCCTGATGCAGCCATCGGCCCCTCCCTGCTCTGGCTCCTGGGTCTCCTGTTACTGCTGACGTCAAAAGTGGCCGCTCTGTGGCATTGTCCTCAAGGTCCCAAGCTGCAGGTGCACAGATCCAACAGCAGTGATATCTGTGCCAACAGTGCCACCTCCCGTCCCTGCAGAGCCTGCTGGCAAAGTCTAGTGCCCCAATGCCCCAGATTTCTGACCACTGTCCTTGCTGGAGAACTCAGCATGGGCCCTGGCGGGGAAGCCTGGGTGGCCACACTGCAGTTCCATCAGCGTCCTTTCTGACCCATCCTCCTCAACCTTTGGGCAACCTTCAAATGTGGGCTCAAGTGCCCCTTCTTCAGGGAAGCCTCCCATGACTCCTCAAACTAAGCCAAGCCCCCAATATAAGATCTCTCTCCTTAATGTTGGACTGGGAGGTAGTGATGGGGGATCCAGAAGAAGAGATACCCGCTGGTCAAAGCATTTCCAAACAGCGAACAAACTCTCCCTGTTCCTCGTGGGAACTGGTACCTCGCCCGGCAAGCTGCTCACACGGCCCTTGTGCTCTTCAGAGGGCCTGTCACACGTCGGCCTTGGTGAGAAAGCCTCTGTGCGTTTCTAGTTTGCCCCACTAAACTCACGCGGGTCAAGGTCGTGCCGACCTGAGTGGCTGGGAAAGGAACCTCCTCCGTGCTGCTTCCCACGGTTGGCTCACCTGCTCATACGGAGGAGAGCCGGCATTTCCTTGCCAGGCTGGGCCTGGTCCTCGCTGTGGGCCGCGGGAGGCAAAGGCCATGAGTGCTCCAGGTGGGGCGGTGTCCCTCAGTGCCGCTGTGGGACATCACTTCCCAAATAAACCCTCAGGGAGCCTGGCCTCCAGCTCTGTGCTCGGGGGACCCCAGGCTACAACAGGCTCCTTTAGGCCGGGTGGAGGTTTCCAGCTTTTGTGCAGGGGAAAGGGAAGCCACTGAAAAGCTGGGAGCAGGCGCTTGGTAAGATCTGTATTCCTAAGGGCTGTTCTGGCTCAGCGTGGAGAATCGGCTGGGGGCAGGGGCAGTGCCACGAGGGGAGACACAGACCATTCTGGAAGCTCTTGAAGGAGGTGAAATGTGAGGGCAGCTTGGGAGAGGACGTTTGCTGTCTGGCCGTCTCTCTCTGTCCCTCAATTTATCCGTGACCCTCTCGCACACCTGCAAACAAGCCCTTCTGATCTTAATCAGCCTCGTGTGCCACAGTCGATCTGGGGTCCCAGCTGCTGGGGGAGGAACACACCTGTGCTCAGCCCAAGCCAGATGTGCACAAGCTTCCCCTCTGGTGTCCCAGTGGAGCTTACAGGGCACCACGTCTCAGGGACAAGACTGGGCGGGGGGAGTGGGAGCCCAGTGAGCGAGCGAGCAGGAGGAGCAATGGAAGATTTGCTTCCTGGGATCCTGGAGGACAGGCTCATGGGGAAGGGAAGCGGACACCCAGAGCCCAGATGAGGCCACTAATCCACACAACAAAGGCTCAGTGTATCAGTCCACAGCCCATGTTTATTGAACCAAAGTCTCTAGAACACAAGATGGGGGAAAACAGACAGATCTAAAATATCACCTTGTCCAGCACCTCCACCCCTCCAACCGGAGGCAGAGGCTGTGTCTCGTGGCCCCACTCTGGTAGATCTGTGCACATCTGGTTTCACTTTACTTTTTTCAAATCAACCACTAGTTCAAGGCAGCATTTGGAGTTTCACTGGCATTTCATTGGTCTCTGGGAGCACCCTGGCCCCAAGGAGCACCAGCAACTTGTCAAATGTTCCACCCACTCTGCTGCTATCACCGCCACCGCCAACATCACCACCACCACGGTCAAGAAGCCACTGCCCACAGTCGATAATATTGTAATAACTGTGAATGGTGCCGCGTGGCTACTGGGCTTATCAGTTGATCATTCCAATCACTATATTATATACCTAAAACTAATGTAATTTTGTATGCCAACTGTGATTGAGAAATTTAAAAATACAAAGATAGAACGTTTTTATAAAAAGAAGTCACTACCTAAGATAAACCTGCTAGAAGACAAAGGCGACTTGCAACTGTAATTGAAAAATAAAATAATAGAATGTTTTTTAAAAAAAAGAGGTCACTGCTGATCTAAGACAAACCTGCTGGAAGACAGTGGTGAGGAGGACCTGGAAGGCAGGGCTGGAGACCACGACCAGCGAAAGACTCCCTTTCTGCTGGGACAGCAAACCATGGGGGGGGCCAGGAGAGGAGCCACCGTTACTTCCATATGGCAACAACTCAGACTCCCGCTTTCTCCCGTTGTCAGCTCTTCAGGAGTTCTGGCCTTCTTGGGGCTTATTCCTCCACATCTCTCTTTATTCATGACCCCAATGTCTTTCTTAGTCCAAAATGAAGTTTCTCCCCAAGCCCTCCCCTCTTGCCCCCTCTCTCCCCTTTTTCAAGATTCCTGCCATCCGCATGAACCCCTCTCTTGCTGTGCTCAGCTATAGAAACACCAGACTCCTTAACGCCCAGTTCCATCAATTTTATCTCACCCTCTTTTCCCTCCTAACGGGTCCCTCCACGCCTTTGTCCCACATACGCCACTGTTACCTGCACTGCCTGGGGATCAGTCGGGCCCTCTCATAGCATTTTGTGAATGGAGATGAGTTTCTGCAGCTTTGCCTCCAGCTCCTGGGCCTGCTGCCTCAACTCTTCCGCCGACTGTGTCTTTGGCCCCTCAAGCAAGTGCTTTGACTCCTTTGCAAGTTCGATCGCATCTATCAGAAGAAACACAGCTGCAGTGGCTGCACCAAAGATCCTGGCTCCTTTGGTCATCGCCAGAGCGGTGCCTCCAAAAGCTTTCTGCACCCGCCTGCTGCTTCGGACCGAGGTCACCCCGGTGGTCATGAAGCGTGTGGCCTGTTTTGCTAAGGAAGGGTTGGACTTGACCAGCTTGAAGGCGCGGCCATGCTTTACAAGGTTTATCAGGGATCTGATGCACTTTTCTGCTACAGAAGTAATTTTGGGTGCACTGCTACGTAGAACCTTCAAAACTACCTCCTCCTCCTTGATGGCAGCTGACACTAGCCGACTGGCTTTGGCTTTTGCGGACACATTCTTTGAGTGTTCCACGATGCTGGAGGACACACTGGTCACAGAGGCTGCTACCCCAAGTCCTATCCCAGTTCCAAGAAGCGCCAGACTAGCCCCTGCTGTCACAGGTGCCAGAGCCAGGCCAACGATGGTCAGAATGCCAGACACAACACCGGTCGAATTGGCCACCACTTTGGAGATGGTACAGTCCCTGTGTACCTTGTCAACCTCCTCTGCAAGCGCATGGAGCTCTCTTATGTGCTCCTCAAGCTCCTGTTTCACCAGAGGAAACTCATCCATAAACCTCTTCCTGTGCAGCTCTTCTTTCGAGGGCATGTCTTCGGTCTCCGTGGCCATGAGACTTTTCAGCTCACTCAGGTCTTCATATAGTGCATCTGCCTCATCCCTGGAATCATAAGGTCAGGCGATTAACAAAGGCAGCTTGCTTATCTGTAATATGGGCTCCGTAAGATCCATTCTGCATAATCATAGAGCTTTGACTATAAATCATATGGAAAAGAATTTGACAAATGTAAGGAATTTTTCTTTCAACGTTAAACCCACATGTTGTACCTTGTAGCTGCTCCATAGGACTTATTCAATCGGGGAATAAACATGGAAAAGTCCTCTTAGGATGCTCTTAACCGGTAAGTGTTTGATAGAGATGGCTTCTCACTCAAGGGAGGTCGACCCCCTCGCCCCCAAAGTGTTTGTAGAGTGGGAACTCCAGGGACGAACAAGGAAAAGTGGGGCTGGAGCAGGAAAACCTTCACTCAGAGAATCTTAGAGTGTGGTGAAGACTTCACCTGACCACGAAGAGGTCTGCCCTTTGCCCTTGGGAAATGATCTCTGGGATCCTAGAATGTGCTGATTGATAGGAGTGTCATTGTTTGCCTGGCATTTAGCCAGGGAACAGTCTGACAAGGTGATGTGTGATGGTATCAGTTCTGGCCTATGAAGGAACTAGCAGCAAAAGGCACTCGTTGGCCCTCCGGGGGGGCTGCAGGCTACAGGTCAGCTGTGCGGACAGCGTGCAGTCGAGCCCCAGTTAACCTCTGTACACTGAGTCACTGCCAAATTGACATGAGGCTCCTCCGAGCCCTCTTCTCGACTAGGCCTTGATCTTGGCCTTCTATGTTCTGTCCTTGACAGCCTGTATCTTCCTGTCTTAGCAAGAATCCTGCTAAGTCAGTTGAGCGAGGCTCACACTTTTTTTTTTTTTAAATCATCACCCGAGGCCATGCTTAGGGAGAGGAAGGGAGAGAAAGAGACATTGGTGTGGGAGAGAAACACTGAAGGGTCGCCTTGTGGGACAGTGGTCACGTAACCTGCCCAAGTTCATGTCGCCTTCCCCCTGCAGGTTTCATCTCTTCTCAACCTGAGGCTATTGTCTATCAATGAATGATATGAAGGAAATATTCCTCATGGACTGTTGAGAAGGAACATATTCAACCCCAACCACAGGATCCTGCCTGGAGGAGGTGTGCCTGCCAGAGGAAACTAGATCAGGGGGACATTTGGGTGACAATACAGGCATCCCCTGGAGGTTACCGGGACACATTGGCCGCCATCACAAATCTCTCCCAGGCTGCATCACTCAGCAGGAGTTGCAGTTTCTCTGTGCTCATTGGGTCCATTATATACTCAATGACATCCTCAAAGTCTTTGCCATCTAGAAGGAAAGAAAAAAGTAAAAGAAGAAATTGTGGCAGAACATAAATGTGTTGAGTATAAATACGTGGGCAGGTGCTCCTCTTCCTGAGCAGATGTCACCTGGGGTACATTTGATGCAGTCACCTGATGTTATGGACTAGACTGTGTTGCCCAAAATTCACATGTTGAAGCCCTGAACCCCCACATGATGGAATTTTGTGATTAAGTGAGGTCATAAGTGTGGGATCCTAATCCAATATGACTGGTGTCCTTATGAGTATGAGCAGAAGGAGAGATACCAGATTTCTCCCCTCCCCTTCTCTCTCTAAAAATCAATGTTATTTTAATTTTTTTTTATTTTTTATTTTTAAAATATATATCTTTATTGATTTCAGAGAGAGGAAAGGAGATGAAGAGAGAGAGGTAGAAACATCAATGATGAGAGTCATTGATTGGCTGCAGCCCGCAACCCGGGCATGTCCTGACCGGGAGTCGAACCCTGATCTCCTGGATCCTAGGTCAACGTTCAACCACTGAGCCACGCCCGGCCGGGCTCAATGTTATTTTTAAAATTAAAAAAAAATCTTTAAAAATAATATGTGACTCTCAGGAATTTAGAGACCATGGAATTGCAGATAAGGCACTTGGACTAGTGTGTGTTTTGTGTGTGCAGAGACATGACATCAATGTGTTTCCTGCTATATACACTCGCCGGGAATTATTCTTATTTCTCAGAAAAAGGAAGCGAAACTCAGGACAAGGGAAGGTCCAAAGCCAACAAGCAGAAAGCTCAAGGTTGAATCCAAGGCCAACCCTCAGACATTTCCTTACATTAGTTTGAAGCCTCCATATGTTTCAAAAATTCATGTGATTTCTGCATTCTACCCTGTAGTTTACCTATGGCTTATTTTGTTTAAAAATAATGTTTCAGACCACACACCATTGATTGAGGAAAACTACCCAACAAAGAGGACTCCTCCTGCTTCTCACAGATGCCCCAAGATGGGCAACGGAGGAGGTGTCTTCAGGTGGGTGGGGAGTTGAACCCTCAGCTCTAACTCTGTGATCACTCAGGATCACCTCTGTCCCCTCCAGGCTGGTCTCAGGGGCCACAGCTCCCCGTTGGCACCTCTGACCCCAAGCTGGCCCATTTCTTAAACAAGAGATCATCTTGTTTATCCTCAGAAATCCACCAGCTCCAGCCCTCCCTCAAGGACCCCAGAGCCTGCTCAGGAGCAGCTGGCCTCCGATCTGTCCTCTCCTCCCTGATTCTGCAACATGAACAAGTGTTTTCCTCTCCTGGAAGGGCAATTTGGTTGCCTGGCAATGCGCTGTAGATCTGTGTGGGTGGAGGGTTGTTTTTCTTTTTCTGGCTTCATTCATTGAGGGAAAAAGGAAGCCAGGGCTTCCATGGAACCCCGAGTACCAAATCTGTGTATTTCTTGGATGTGGTGGGGAAATAACAAAGCCAGCCTCTGTAGTGGCCTTTGAGACCAACAGAAGTTCCTGCCTGAGACAGTCCACCCGGTAGGCCGGTGTTTGTAACTGGGAGCACAGGTCAGGGCCCTAACTCATCTGTGGGGCTGGGGGTGCAATGGAGGGGGAAGGTTTCCACCTGGAACTAGCAGTTTCTGGGTACAGGGGACAAGCAGTGCCCACCCCCGCGGGCTGTCCTGGCCTCTTTGGAGCCACTGCATGCATGGCAGTGGAAGGGGTGCAGTGAGCACCCTGAGGAGAGAACCATGAAGGAGGTCCCCCCATAGACTCTGGGTTGAGGAGACTCCCCTTGGCTCCTCTTGGGGGCTTGAGGACACATTAATTCCCTTGGAGGTTCTTGATTCCTGTGTAGTTTAACCCAGTCTGGAGGCAGCACCCTCAATTCTAGGTCATAAGTAGGAACCGGCCAGAGGAGGAAGGTGACTACCTGGGGCCATCCCGTCGGCTCCTGAGGTCATGGTGTCAGCAGTGGGATCTCAGAGTTTCCCCTTCAGCTCACCAGCCTGTGCCTGGCTGGAAGGAGGTGTTGCTTCACCCTTAGGAGAGAGAAAACAAATTATGGGGTCGAATATGAGCCAGCTGTGGCACCAGGGAGCAGCGAGGGGCCGGGTCTCTGGCGCTTCCCTCTGGGACGGTCACAAATGCCATCAGTCCAAAGATGGACTCAATCCAATGTGTTTCTCTGGCTGCTGGGCTCTGCTGGCTGCTACTTAAGAGAAGTTGCTCACCTCACTCCAGCCCACTCCCAGCCAAGTGACAGTCCTGTTGTCCTGTTGGGGCACAAGGAGGAGACCATCAGACAAGGAGACAGACAGCTGAGGAGCAACAGAACCAAAGAGGCAATAAAACCACACACAGAAGAGAAGATGGTGAGGAATGCTCTGGAAATTACTTGAGGATGGGAGCATTTGTGTGTACTACTTGCTGGAGCTAATGTTGATTGTGTCTACGGTAGGGTCCTTGCCTGGTCCCTCATCAGCACGCGTGCACATTTCACGTCATGAGCGCTGTTGTGGCTCCCCTTTGACAGTGGAGGAAACCATCACCCAGTCGAGGTTTTCACCAAAACTCAGACCAGCCCAAGTTTCCACAATAGTACTGTGGCCAGGACCCAAACCCAAGTCATTCCGATCCAAATCCCATGTTTGTGAGGACTATGCTCTACTCTCTGTAATATAAAAAAATAATGTTTATTAATGTGTATTTGTTTACTTGTAAATGACTCTTCTTGTTCGAAAATGATGTCTTGAACCCTATGCCCAAGTCTGTCTTGAGAAATTCCTGGGGCTGTAGTTTCCCAAAGCCTGTGCCCTTCTTGCTTCTGTAAGACCCTCTTCCCCTAAGGGCCCGGGGTCCTGGCCCCATCCCTGCAGCCCTGCTGGGGCTGCCCAGCCCTCCTGACAGTGCCAGGTCCTCTCTGCTGTCCTCTCCCAACCATTGGACCTTAGCTTGTTTCTAATTCTTTACGAAGAGTGCAAAAACACTCTTCTTGCATAGAACTTTACCCGCATTTGAGATTGTTTCCCTCAGATATTTCTGGAAGTAGAATGATTGGGTCAGAAGGAATCTACATATAAAAATTCCTTCATACCTCGAGCTACACTGTATGCAAGCAAATTGCACCAATTTACATTTATACTCACAGTATATGAGCTGTCCAACTCTTCCATCTTCCAGTGTTCAGTAATTTTTTTAAAGAAACATGTCTTTCATTTAAAAAAAATTTTCATTATACTAAAAAATTTGCACAACATAAAATTTATGCTTAACCATTTTTAAGTGTACAGTTCTTCACTGTTAAATACATTCATGTTGTTGTGCAACCAGTCTCCAGAACTCTTTTCATCTTGCAGAACAGAAACTCTGTACCCACGAAACAGAAACTCCCCACCCCCTCTTCCCAGGCCCTGGAAACTGCAGTTCTATTTTCTGTGTCTCCGGATCTGAGTGCCTCCTAGAAGTGAATCACACAGTCTTCATCCTTTGGAGACTGGCTTATCTTACTCAGAATAATGTCGTCAAGCTTCATGAATGTTGTAGCCTGGGCCAGAATCCCCTTCATTTCAAGGCAATAATACATTTTGTTTTGATAATTTCTAGAGGAGTTTATTTGAGTCAAACTGAGCAAGACCTCATATGCGCTGGGGAATACGTTTCTCAGTTTCTCCCGTGCATCGGAACTGAAGGAGGCCGTGTAAGGAAGGTTGCAGGAAACTGGGAGCAAGCAGGTGGGGAGTGCATCGCAGGAATGTTAACAAGACTGTGCTCTCTTGAGGGAGGTTATTTCAAAGGTGTGTTAACCATGACGCACAGAAACAAAGGACAGGGCTTGCTGACGGCAAACATAAACCTTTTACTAAAAGTTATATGCCTGGGCTGTGACCACCCACCGGGAACCGCCCGGTTAGGATTTTATGATCAGATAACACTGTGAGGTTACATTCTGTAGAACACCGGTTTTTTTCATCCACAGTCTCCCTTTTGATCATAAACCAATTTGAAGGATGCGTGGGTGACAGTGTGGTCTCCGAGCGCTAGGAAGGCGCGTCCCTCGGAAGTCTCCGTGTTGAAGTCGCTTGTTGACCATTGGGGGTGGGGGAGTGCTGTAATCATGGGATCTGAGTTGAGGCCAGATTTTCCCCAAATGGGAAGGGCAGGTACATGGAAGGCAGTCAGGTCTTATGGCCTTCACTGTGAGCAAATGCTCTGGCCCTGCCAGGTAGCTCAGCTGGCTAGAGCCTCGCCCAGTTTGCCAAGGTTGCGGGTTGGATAAGATAAGGCATGTACGTGTGGCACAAACAGGAGTCAGCCATGCCCAACAGTGTGGAGCGACTGATGTTTCTCTCTCCCCCTCTCAGGTCAATAAGAGTAAATAAACACCCTGGATCAATTCTATTCGATGAACTATCATGATCTAAACAGATCTTCCCAGAGAGAGAATTTCTCTCAGTTCTGTCTGTGACTATCTTGCCTTGGGAGACAAAGGAAGTAAGCAAATGTTGATTGTGATTAGGGGTTATTTTAAGAAGGTAAACCAGCATTTATCAACTACCCCTCCTGAGACCCGCCTGAAACCAGAACAAAGGACTTGGTATAATAATTGCTAATGATAAGGTGGCTGACCTGTGTGGTGTTTGCTCTGCCCCAGAGTGCTCTAAGGCTTTGCAAGTAATGACTCATGTTCTTCCAATAATTTTTGAACTGTGTATCATTTGTATCTGTATCTATTCTCCGCTGTCCCTCCTATCCCCGGGCACCCTCCACCCTCCCGGCGCCGCTGGCTAAATCCTGGGGTATGTCCCATGGTGGGGACACAGGACAACCCGTTTCACTGGAAACGGAGTCATTCCATTTGCATTTCTTGTTGATCTTGGTGAAAAGCTCTTTCTGGCAGAAAACAAATAAAACTATGACTCAGATTTCACACAAATTACGCCCACTGAGTTAATGGACTTTTGACAGTTCTGTCAGGTTTCAGAGTTCCATTGATTTCCCCGTCTCCTTCCTGCAGCCATAATTTCTTAATATGATGACAGAGAGGAAGAGAAGAATGTGAAAAATATGGGTTCCCGTTATAATCTGATACAGATGCTGGGCCCTGAGCAGGACCTGCCGGAGCCCCCCGCCCCCCGCGGGCCGGGCCCAGCTCCCTCCTGCCCCTCCCACTCCGCTCACTGCCGCCGGGCGCTTTTCTCACAGCATCGGAGGCTCCTTTGAAGGCTCAGGGACAGCTGTGTCCCTTTGTGGCTGCTGTAGGTGCCCATTTGCCCTGCAGAAGGAAGACATGGAAGATGAAGACGCAGAAGAGGAGGAGGAGAGGAAGAAGGCACGAAAGCTTCTACAAAATCAATCAATCCTAAAGGAATCGAAGTGTAAGTCAGAAAGAAAAAACCATAAATGTGCTGGAAAGAAATGTTAAAACTAATGTTGTTGTGGAAACATTGCTAATCAAGACACAAATCCCAGAAGCCATAAAGGAAAAGTGTGATTGATTGGATCTCGTAAAAATGGAAAACCGCAGGCGCTGCCATAACGGGCCCGAGCGCGAGAGGCCGGGGGCCGCCGGGGGCCGTCGGCCTGTGGACCAGAGGCGGCCGCTCCGCACCGGGCACCGGGCACCGGGCACCAGGCACGCAGCTCAGCGCCAAGGGCTGAAGCCAAACTCTTACAAATGGGCGGGACGTGCGAGCAAATCCCTTCCGGGCAGCGGCTGGCCCCGCGTCACCAGCTCTTGGAGGGCACCGCGGAGGCAGCCCCTTCTGATGCGGGTGTTTAAGGAGGGAGCGCGGCTTGAATGATGGCGCCGTTTCCAGGCGTGGCTCTGCCTGTGTAGACGCCTAGGCTCTGCCTGTGTAGACGCCTAGGTCTAAGCTCAGACGCCTGCTGTACCCACGTCCACAGCTGGTTTCTGAAGGTGACAGCTGGGGTCATGCACCACGCCCGTCGCACTCCCTACGTCTGGGCCTTCCTTTCGATCCTGGACACACAGGACCACCTCTTCCTCCTCCCGTCACCCCCGGCCCTGAACCGAGGGCCAGCCAGGAGCGGGGAGAGCCCGACCACTGTCGCTCTCGGCCTCCATCTTCCATCTTGGCACCCGGGACAAGTCACTGCCCACTCAGGGCTTCAGCTTCCCCACAGGGCCTGGCACTAAGCTGACCGTGTGGGTGAAACAACCTCTCGATTTTTGAAATCTCAAAAGAAATCCTGTGCCCCCATCAGCCTCGGCAGCAGCCCCGGGGGCAGCCTCAGGGCGCCGGCCACAGGGACCACAGGCTCGGGGTCACCTGCCCTCCTCCACCTCCCCTGCTTCCTCCGAATGGCCCAACATCCACCTTCCTCTGGGGTCACTGGCTCATGCCTCGGGTAGCCCAGGACTGAGCTGCACTGGGAGCAGGGCTTGAGAACCCATCTGAGCAGTTCCCCCTCCACTGTTTAGGCCGCAGGATGAGGGAGGAAGGCATCAGACAGACCTGGGTTCCAATCCTGCCTCTGCCTCTGTTTCCGTGTGCCCTTGGGCCCATTACCTAGACCCCTGAGCTTCAGTTTTCCCTCATCTGTAAACTAGTGACACTAATCCTTGTCTTAGAAAGAGCTGTGAGGCCCAGCCAGGCGTGGCTCAGCGGTTGAGCGTCGACCTAGGATCCAGGTGATCAGGGTTCAATTCTAGGTCAGGGCACATGCCGGGGCTGCGGGCTGCAGCCGATCAATGACTTTCCCATCACTGATGTTTCTATCTCTCTCTCCCCCTCTCCTTTCCTCTCTCTGAAATCAATAAAGATATATTTTAAAAAAGAAAGAGCTCTGAGGATGAGAAGATGGGTGGGGGGCTCCTACTCACCCCAGCTTACCAAGAATCTCCCTCCGGCTGGTTTGGAACAAGATCCAGTTATCCTTAGCTGCGCAGATCCACTCGGCAGCTGTGTCTGCATAAAACCAGACGCTCCTGTGCTCAGAGGTGCCGGGGAAACAAAAGTGAAAGAGCCTGTCGAAGTTCAGAGAAGCGCATGATCAAACACATTACACAACCGGCGCCCCAGGCTAGCCCCACCCTGCCTGCTGGCCGCTGAGCGGAGCAACCCTGGATCTGACATCCCAGGTCCTCCTGGGCTCAACCCATCCTGCCTCCAGCTTCTAGGAGGAAGACCTGCCACTGATGGACTGAGGGATCCTGAGCAAATTACAAAGCCCTCCGCCCCACGGGCTTGTTGCCAGACTCCTCCTCTCTCATGCTCTCCCACAATTCCCCAAATGCCTGCCTTGTACACCTTTCTGCCACCAGCAACTAGCACAGTCCCTGAACATACCAAGGCTCCTTGCGCACTTGTGTTCATTGCGTACCTGCTGCTATTGAAGGCCGCGGATGCTTACGTACGTCCTTCTGCCAGGAGCACCTGCTTCTACCACCTGGAAAAATCATGCTCATCCTTCAAAGCCCAAATCAGGTATCACCTCCTTTGAGAAGCCCTCCAGCATCTTCCCCCACAGTCTACTGTCCCCTGCTGGCTCTGCTCCCATGGCACCAGGGAGCCCACCGCTAGGCCACCGTGTTCACGTCTCCCCTGATCTCTTGTGATCAGGTCTCTCTCCAGACTTGTCCCTGGTGGCAGGGACAGTGCCTTCAGATCACAGTGACCTGCCTGAGGAGGCCCATCCATGGTGGTCAATGCCATTTGTGTGGACACAGAGGTTGTCGACTTGGCACAGAGAACCCTGCTGCTGTCCCTCCTGGCTCCTTTCCTCTTGACGACAGACCTTTTTATAGGAAGCCCAGTGTCATGGTGACACTGGAAAGTCTGAAAACAGAAAAAACACCTCCAAAAGCACACCGCCAGGCGTTTGAGCAGAGCAGCCACCATGGACAAAGGGCAGAGTGGGTGTCAGGCACCGTGCCGGCACCTCTTTGCCTTTGTATTTCATCCTCACATCAGCTCTGGGAATTATTAACTCAATGTTACAGATAAAGAAACTGGGAGGAAAATGTCCCACAGCCTGTAATCCCAGCAGCGGTTGGGCTTTTTGGCTTCCCCCAGGCAGGAGGGGCTGGAAATGGACGCCTCCATCTGGGCCTGTTCATCCTGGCAAATGCCCATGGGGCACCGTGGCCACCCCCCCCCAGCTTTTCAGGGAGGGACAGCAGAGTGATGGATAATATTGCATAAAGGCCACACAGAGAGCTTGGGCTTACAGTCACCCTGCAAAGGCCTGATTTCCCAGAAGAGGAAGCCAAGGCGAGGAGAGAGGCCCTGCTTTCTCCAGGCAACTCGAGGGAGGAGCCAAGACTCCAAGCAAGTGTCACATTTCACCTTAGACTTGTTTAAAGTTATTTCTCTTCATGTTTTTCCTGTCACCTCCCTTCTTCCTGATTTCACTTGCATGACTTCAGCTTGACATCCAAACACCGCGACTGTGAGATGCAGAACTAACTCGATACCGGCATGAGCCTTGGCCCAGTGGTCATAAGGATCCTCTGATGAGCGTGCAGAATGGACCCCAGACGGACATCCCTGGCCTCAACGAACATGGATGTCCCAGTGCGAGGAAAATCCCAGTGCAGTGGAAATGTGACCCAAAATCACTTAGAAAGGTGTCTGGCATGTGCCACCAGCATCACCTGGAGGAGTCACCAGCCAGAGGCACACAGCCAGCACCCTCACCACACCCCCCCCAGGCTCTCCAGCACATGGGGAGCTATGCTCGGCTCAGACACGCTGGACATTATGAGTTTTGTGTGTACAACAGGGACCCTATGTCCCTGTCGTCCTGTTTTTTACAGGGACAATGGGAGTGGGCAGGGAGCTTCAAACCGAGCATGTAACCAAGGGTCCTGTGCAGGCATCAGAGTGCCCTGGCTCAGAGACGGGCCCCTCGGGCTGCAGAGCACAGGGGCCTGCACTCCACGCCAACGGCGCCAGCCGACCTCACGGGAAGCGGCCACTGGTCTGAGCCCCTCGTCGCCAGGCTGCCAGCACCGAGCAGGGGACAATCCTCCGCGTCTTTCCTCATGTCCTGAAATTGGGCCCCGGGTGAGTAACAACTGTCAACTCAGGAAGGTTCGGACTAAGTATAAAAGTGACAAAACTCAACCCCACGATGTTAGTATTTTCATGGTGAAATCAAAACAAACACTGCGTTCAGTTTCAGTGCCCATATAACGTCGAAGAGAACTGGGCGCATTCTCAGGGTTAACAACCTTTGGGTCCAATTTAAAACAGGCGATTGAGTAATTTATCTAGATTAAGGGTTGTTACGTGGAAAGGCACTCTGCCCAGTACCGAGGACAGGAGGAAGCAGCCTCGGGCCCACAGATCCCAACCGGGAGGGGTGAGGAGTGGCGGGGAGTGGGGGGCTGTGAAAGCCACACCAGGCGACGCCTCCGCCTCCGCCCCCCGAGCACGCGTAGGGAGCGCCACCAAGCCCTCTGCTCCTGGCGGGCCTTAAAGATAAGAGCAGCCTGCCCTGGCTGCTGTGGCTCAGTTGGTTGGAGCACCATCCCGTGCACCGAAAGGCCATGGGTTCGATTCACGGCCAGGGTGTGGGTCCGTTCCCTTGTCGGGCTGAGTACAGGAGGCAGCTGGGTGGTTTCTCCCTCCCTCTGTGCGTATAGATGTGTCTCTTTCACATCTATGTTTCTCCCTCTCCCTCCTCTCTAAAATCAGTAACAAAACATAAATTAAAAAAAAAAAAAAAATAGCATCCATGCCCTAGCTGTTGGGCTGTGGTTAGAGCGTCGGCCCACAGACTGTTGGGTCCCGGGTTCGATTCCAGCCAAGGGCACATACCTTGGTTGCAGGCTCAATCCCCGATCCCTGGCCCCGGTCCAGGGGCACGTGGGAGGCAATCAATCGATGTGTGTCTCTCACATTGATTTCTGTCTCTCCCTTTCACTCTCTTTGAAAAGCAATGGAAAAGATGTCCTCAGCTGAGGATTAAAAAAAAAATAAGAAGAATCATAAGTGGAATAAAAATAAAACTTTAAAAAATAATAATAGCATCCAGCCCTAGCCAGCGTGACTCAATGGTTAGAGTGCCGGCCTGCAGACCTAAGGGTCACAGGTTCGATTCCCGGTCAAGGGCATGTACTTGGGTTGCAGGTTCGCTCCCCGGTCGCGGTCAGGGTGCCTGCAGGAGGCAGCCAATCAATGTATCTCCCTCACATCCGTGTTTCTCTCTCTCTCCCCCCTACCTTCCCTTCCTTCCACTCTCTCTTAAAAATCAATGGAAAAAAATATATCTTCCAGGGAGGATTTAAGAAGAAACAGCATCTAGTCACTGAATAAATCAGTATGGCAGTTCCTAAAAAAATTAAACATAGAATTACATTACAATCCAACAATCCAGCAAGCACACTTCTGGGTATACACCTTCCACAACTGAGAGCAGGGTCTCAACGAGATACCTGGACACGCATGTTCAAAGCAGCATCACTCACAGCAGCTTAAAGGTGGGAGCTACCCACGCGGCCATCAGTGGACGACCGGGCAAGAACGCTGTGGGTGGATCCACACAAGGGAATATTACTCACACTACGAAGGCAATTCCGACACATGCTACAGCGCGGACGAACCTTGAGGACAATGTGCTTAAGTCTAATAAGCCATCAAAGAAGACAAACGCTGTGCGGTTCGTTAGAGGTGCCTGGAGTAGTCAAATTCATTGGCGGAAAGGTGCAAGGGGCTGGGAAGGGAGGGGACACGGAGAGTTAGTGTTCAGTGGGGGCGGATTTCTACTTTTACAAAACAAAAATATTCTGCAGATGGATGGTGGTGATTAAGCACAATGTGAATGAGCTTAATGCCGCGAAACTGTACCCTTGAAAATGGTTCAGATGGTAAGTTTTGCTGTTTCGTATCATGGTTTAAAAAAATTTTGAATAAATCCTAAAGAAGCTCAACCTTTATGGGGGAAAAATAACAGCACCTGAATCCTTTGCACGTTGCGAAGCATTTTCACACATTATCTCAACTCTTACAACGGCCCTGTGATGAAAACATTTATGACACATTTCCAAACAGAAAACTAAGGTTCAGATGGGGTGCAATGACTTGCCCCAAAGGGAGGAGGCGGGCGCTGGTGCCTGCCTCGTTGTTTTCTGGACCATGCCGTTTGCCCACAGGAAGAGAAATCCTTAAAACCCCCAAGTATGCTAACAGGGTACTTTCTTCCCTAAGTCCCTGTTGGCTCCAGGTGTGTCAGAAAATTTCCACGCCTCAGCCCTGGCCAGGTAGCTCAGTTGGTCAGAGCGTCCCCGATACGTTGCTGGTCTGATGCCCGGTCAGGGCACATGTAAGAATCGACCAATGAGAGCATGAATTAGTGGAACAAATCGATGTTTCTCTCTCGCTCTCTCCCTTCCTCTCTCTAAAATAAAATAAATAAAAAAGAAGGGAAACTTCCACACCCCTGGTTCCAGGTTGCAATGAGGTGGTGAAGCTGAAATCCAACCCAGAGCGTCTGATGTGACAACGAATGTGGATTAATTTTGCAGCTCGGGAATCCCAATGTTACTGAAAGGAAGGAGCAGCCCCCCAAGCCCTCCAGGGCCTGGCCCTACCTCCCTCTCATGGTGTCTCCTCCTGCTCCCTCCCCAGGGGAGAAAGTGCGCCCGCTGAGGCTGGATGGGTCAGTGATCCCAGGCCTGGAAAATGTCCTGCCCAGAGGCACGTGGCTCTCCTTAGCCACCGAGCTGGCCCAACAGTGGCCCAGGGCTTGCTGCTTAAGTCCACACCTGAGGTCAAGTGGGTGCCATCTCCCTTCTCTGCGGAAAACCTGTCTTCCCTCCCCTCCTATTGCAAGTGCAGGAACATCCGTCTTCCTCCATTGCCCTTATGCTCCTGGTAAGCAAGGGGCCTGGTTCAAAAATGAATGAATCAAGCTTTGACAGTCCTATGAAGAGCCTCCTGCTCCCATTCCTACAGGCAGGCTCACCAAGTCCTCCATTCCTGCCTCTACTGCCCTTGGGACAACCCTCCTTAGGGCAGACTGTGCAGTCTGGTGACTAAGGAAGCCCATGGAACTTAGGCCTGCGCCTGGTGTCTCTACCTTGTGCCAGCTCAGT